ACCACATGGACGAGGAGGAAACGCCGTACCTGGTCAAGCTGCCCGTGGCCCCCGAGCGCGTCACGCTGGCCGACTTCAAGAACGTGCTCAGCAACCGGCCCGTGCACGCCTACAAATTCTTCTTCAAGTCCATGGACCAGGATTTCGGGTCAGTGGACTCGGGACCGGGCAGGGCCAGACCTGCGGGCCGCCCGCCCTTCCGGACCAGCGGGACCCCGGTGGGCCAGAGCTTGGTGCCTGGTGCCCGCCTGTGGGCGTGTTCGTGTGTACCCCGCACCTGTCGATGCTGGCATGGCCTTGGGGTGGGGAGCGTGTCCCACAGGTGCCACCTGCGTTGGTCCTGCCCCGTCCCCTCTCTGGTCATGGGTCCGAGGGGCCTGTGTTTGCATGTGCCCCCGGGACGCCTTGTGGGCACTCACTGAGGCATTCTGATCTCCCTGTCTGACCCCGACTGTCAGGCCAGGAGCTTGGTAGCTCTAGATGAGGGTTTGTGAGGGTCCTGACCTCACCACCTGTGGCCCAGAGGCCTGTTCAACCAGCGTTAAGTGTGTCAGGCCAGCCAGGGAGCCGTCTTTCCCCAAAGTCCCATCTTGACACCTGTTGGGACTTAGGATCCACTGCCTTTCTTCAGGACACACCTGGACAGGAACAGGTGGTCTGGAGGATTGGCCTGTAGTTCGTGGGCCTGGGGAGGGAGGGCCAACAAGGTAGAAGGAAATGGAAGAGAAAGCAGGACCCAATCAGCCAATGGTGGGATGGGAGAGTGAGCTGGTTCAGGACAGGGATTTGCCTATAGAAGTTTCTGGTGGTTCAAGACAGGCTCCCCCTGCCCACTCCTTTCAAGGTCTGAAAGCCAGCAATGGCCAAGGGTGGCCGGGGACATGGGTGACCACTCACTCACCTACTCCTGCCTGGGGCTCCTGACCAGGGTCCTATGTCCGGCTTGGCCACACAGCCTTGTTGTTCTCTGAGCAGCCAGGCCATCTGCGGACTCTCAGCCTCTGGGTCCCTGTCTCCGTGGTGACTGTCCCAGGCCAGGGGACTTCCCACATGCACTCCTCTGGGCCTCTGGGACTGTGCCGGCACAGCCTTGGGTAACCTGAGTCCCCAGTTCAGCAGTGCTGCAAAGGGGCACACAGAGGCCCCGCCGGCTGAGCAGGTGTACGCTGGCTGCCCTCGGGCCAGCCCGAGTCCTTGTGTACAGCGACCTCCCAGGATTTTGACATTGAAGCCATTTCCTGTAACTCGGGTTTGCACAGGCCCAGGTCAGCGGGGCCTGGGAGACATGGGGACAACTGGACAACCTTCTCTGCCATTAAGGAGAAATGTAGAGGGAACGTATGTCCTTGGTAGCCCCTGAAGGCTGGCTGCTCCCACTTACTGACCTTCCTGTCTGCTTAGATCAGGGGCCTTGGCTGGGGCAGGCAGCCCCGTTGGGTGACCTTAGGTGCCATTCGACCTCACTGGGCCTAGGTTTCTTTCTATCTAAGAAGGCATTTCTGGTTTTCGCATAGTTCATTGATTTAACAAAACACCCCAAAGTTACAGTGCTCGTGGGTCACACAGAGGGTGGCATGCAGCAGGTGTAGTCCCAGTGGCCACCCTTGAGCTGGCTCCGGGGTGTGTCTTGAAAGCACCTTGCCAACACCACTGTGTGCATCCCACCAGGCTGCAGGAAAGCCAGGGCCCATGCCCCCGACACCCACCCACTGGGAGAGACCGGGGGTCTTGGGTGACCTGGCCTAAGATGTAGGATCTTAAGAGTGTTCTTAGGTTGGTTGGTGTCAGGAGAGAGCACTTTGGAAATGGGTGGGTTTGGGGGAACTGGGGAGGTCAGCTATGAAGGTGACTTCAGGCTCACAGGAGGGAGACCAGGAGGCAAGGGGGACACTGCAGAGAGGCAGGCTGTAGGGCCTGGGCCAGGATGAGAGATGGGGGTGGGGGAGACAGATGGGGGCATAATGCATCAAGTAGATGTCATCTTGTCTCTTCCTGGATTACTGGCTGTCAGTCTAATACCCTCAAAGATCCAGGGGAAACCCCCCACCCCAATATTAATTCCCAGCCTAGGATCCTCAGAGATTTGCTTCACCCCTTTCTTGCAGTTTTGCCTACAAAGCTCCAAACTGAATTTTATTCTACAGAATAACTTATTCAATAGAATATATTTCTACTGGGATGGAACAGTAGAAATAGTCCTTATACTTTAGTATAAATGAGGACTTGATTACCAAATGGACAGAACTGTAGGTTAGGAGATGGGAGGACAGGTCCTGTCTGGGCCCACAGTGGCCCCAGCCTTAAGAGGTGTGGCCTCAGCTGGGGGCTGGCTCCAGCCTGTGAGTAACAAAGGGGCTGGACCCCCTCCCCAAGTGCCTTCTTGGCCAGTTGGGTGCAGTTCTCTCTACCCTCCCCACACCTGGATGGGCCTGAATTCTCTGCAAGATGTGCTCTGTGGTTTTGAACTAAGGGCCCAAAGGGCTGGGTGGGGAATGAGTAGAGGGCCAGCCAGGCGGGGGGCTGGCCTGTGGCGCAGGCGGGGGGATTCTGAGCAAGCTCAGGCTCTGTGAGTGGTGGGCACCAGGGAGGTGTTGTTGTGAGGCTGTAGAGTCTCCTGTCACCAGGAGTGCCAGATTCCAGGCCAGCTGGGTTGGTGTGCCTGGCAGTGGTCCTTGATCCCCTGTCTTGGAGGCTGGCTGAGGGAGGCTTGGGCAGAGGGAGCACAAACCCTCAGCCTCGTGGGTTAGCTCCGGGGTAGATGGGGTTCTTGAGGATCCCCAGTGCTCGGGAGCTGAGGGCCCCCCGTTCACAGGGTGCTGGAAGGGCTACCTGCTTTGTGGCAAGCGGAGTGGACACTGGGTGCAGTGGGGTTGTACCACCAGGGAGGCCTGGCTTGGGGTTGCTGTGTCCCTGAGAGCCAGGTGGCTGCCTCCCTGTGGCCTCTCAGAGCAGATTCCTTACCTGGGCGGGTCTGTGGAGGTGGTGGGCGGGCCTCTAAGCCACAAGTTCAGGGTTAACTGGGATCTTGCCAAGAATCCTAAGGTTGGGGAGGGTCAGACATTGGGGATGAGCGGGGGTGGGGTGGGGGTGGTGGAATCTCCTGGGTGGCCAGCCCCGAGTGTCAGTTGAGACTGTGTTCCCAACTCAGCGAGACCTAGCCCAAGAGAGTGTCAGGGGTCTCTTCCCCCGTATTATGCTGGGCCAGCATCGCCCATCCCCACAGAGCAGAGGATTGCAGAGCAGAGCAGAGGAGAGGAGGGCCACAGGGCACTGGGCACCTGCTCCTCAGCTTGGAGGGTGGGAACAGCGTAGAATCGAAGGATTGGCCTCCTGGAAGCGAGGCTGGCCCAGCCACCTCCCTCTCTGCTCCTCCCACCTGGCTGCACCTGAGACTTGTGGCCTCTCCAGACCTGACCCTGGGTTAGAGAGTAGGCTCACGAGCAGGCCCCTTGAAGAAGCGGGAGTGGGGGGCAGAATTCTTGGACCACCTTGGGTGAGTGGATCATTTCAGGGGTAATGATCTCCCGAGTGGCTAATGTGGGCAGGGGGGCTTCCCTGAGCTGGGGTTTTTCCCTCAGGTAGCATGGGACAGGGTGCTCCTAGGGCAGGCCCTCCCATGGGTGACTCAGAGGGCTGGGATGTGGCAGGGAAGGGCTGTCATCCAGCTCACCTCAAGGTGCTGCGGGGGTGCTGAAGCAGGATCGAGGCCCTTCTGGAAGCTACTCAGCGGGTGCTCGTCCCACTGGCCCTCTGTGAACCTGGTCCTCTCTGCATGCCCCCTCACTCCAGAGTCACGAAAGTCCTCCTCAGCTCACCAGATTGGGGGCTCATGGTGGCAGTCCCTGTGCTGGGTATGCTCATGGTGGCCTTGAGGAGGCCCTCCCTTGGGTGCAGGGTCACCAGAGTTTTGCACCCCCTGGGGCAGATAGGGCCGGGGTTGTCCACAGCTGCATCTGGGCCTGTTTCCTGCCAGGTGTGTATCCAAAGCCTACCGGCTCTCGATTCCATTTCTCTGCCTGATCTAAGTCCTGGGGCTGTAGATCCCCAGTGCTGGGCACTGACTCCAGGATTCCAGGGCCTCCTGGACAGCCTGCTCTGGCCCTCTCCTCCCCTGCCACCAGGAGGCCACTATGTGTGTGTGGGGGGTGTTTGAGGGGGGCGTGCATCGCAGACCCCAGCCCTTGCCCTCAGCATGGCCTGGCCTGGACCGGGCTGGCCACTGCTCTCACTCGTTCAAGCCCTAATGCTTGGCCCCACCTGTATCTGAGTCCTGCGGGTCAGCTGCCTTCCTTCCTGTTAGATTCTCCCTGGCTCTCTGTCCACCCGCAGCCATCTGCAGACATTGAGGTGGGTGGGCATCTGGCCGTGGGGTCCTCATCCTCTTACTGAGTGGACCCCACTGACAGTGTCTTTAGTTGACCTTCCAGGCCCGTGAAGCTGGGAGGCCTTGGTCCTCTGGGAGCTAGGGGCTGGTCCAAAGTGGGATCTGCTTCCATCTCCCTGGTGGGTGAGCCATGAGGGCGGCAGGCTGCCCAGTTGGCTGTGCACATGGTAGGCATAGGTGAGTGTGTAATTGCCCGTGTGTATCCATAGGTGTGGATGACTGGGGGTGTATGTGCTTGTGTTTAAGTACATGAATGTGCATGTGCGTGCTTGTGGGTGCATGCAGAGAAGGCATGGGAAGAAATAGTTGTAGAGCCCAGTGATTGGTAGAAGGGGGGGGGGGCAGAGGGCAAAGGTGAGTCCCCAACACCTGGAGGGTGGACTTTCCATCCCTGAGGTGTCTGTGTTGGGGGAGTCAAGTCCTTGAGGAGCGACCAGCTGCGACTCAGCCCCAAGCCCGGCCAAGGCTGAAGAGGAGCTGTCGGGTGTCCTTGAAGAGGCTGAGAGGGAGGGCTGGCCTAACTCCAGATTCCTGGGGTGACTGCTGGACAGCAGAACTGGGGCTCTTGGGACTCACAGGGAGGAGGCCTTGGCGGAGCCTGGGGCCCAGGCTGGAGGTGAGAGGTCAAGGCCTCCATGGCAGGTGTCTTTCGAGGGTTGCCTGTCTCTCACCAGCTCTTAGATCTGGAACCAAGGCCAGCAGAGCAGCTGTGGTACCCAGAGGAGACCAGAGGAGACCGAAGCCCCGGGGCCATCACTGTGCTTGAGGGAGGGGCGGGGCACAGTGGGATTGGGACCCCAAGAAAGAATTTGGTTGTGATAGAGATGCATCTCTGGGGTGTGGCCAGGCCTCTTAGGGTTTTGTGAATCAAGATGTGGAAGGTGGCTCTGGGCAAGGTCAGTGGGGGGTGTGTGTCTCATCTCCAGAGCCAGTCTGTTGGTGGTACAGTGGGGTTCTGGGGGTCCCACCCACAGCCTTGTTCCTCTCCCAGGGTGGTGAAGGAAGAGATCTCAGATGACAATGCCAGGCTGCCCTGCTTCAATGGTAGAGTGGTCTCCTGGGTGAGTCTGCGGTGGGCCCGCACCTGTCTATCCCACACCAGGGTGCCTAGGGGGAGGAATGATACTCATGAGGGTGGGGGTGGTCCCCTCGGCACAGAGTATGGGGAGCTTGAGGTCGTAGAGGAGAAGGCTGCCCCTGGGCCCTGGCAGGGGTGAGCTCGGGTCAGTGGGGTGATCTGGGAGTGGGCGGGTGATCTGGAAGCCAGCTGAGGGTGGCTTGGGGGCAGACAGGGTGTTTCAGTGCCCACTCTTTTCCTGCAGCTGGTCCTGGCCGAGGGTGCACACTCGGACGCAGGGTCTCAGGGCACCGACAGTCACACAGACCTACCCCCACCACTTGAGCGGATGGGTGGCATCGGGGATTCCCGGCCCCCCTCCTTCCAGTAAGGACCCTGGCAGATAGATGTGCAGGGGGGTGAGCCCTGGTGCTCTTACAAGGCTTGTGGCCTCTTGGGAATGTGGCGGGCAGCAGCAGGCATGTCCGTAAAGGGGATGGAGGGTGTGGCGAGTGGCCTGGGAGTGGAGGGAGGGCAGAGGGCTGGGGCAGGGGCACCAGCAACCCCACTTCTCATTGGCACAGCCCCAATGTGGCCAGCAGTCGTGACGGGATGGACAACGAGACGGGCGCAGAGTCCCTGCTCAGCCATCGGCGGGAGCGAGCCCGGCGCCGGAACCGTGAGGGCCGAGAGGACGGTAGCGTGGCTGCTGCCTGCCACCCCTGAGACCCTGAGCCTGGTGGCCTCACCGTGGCACCCTCAACTTCCCGTGGCCCCTGTGGAACCCTGTTACTGTCCCCTGCCCATCCTAGACCAGTGGCCCTTGCAACTCCAGGGCCCCTCATGTAACCCTCCAACCCTCCAGAGAACAGCCTCCTGTGACCCTGTGGCTTTCTGGGCCTCCCAGCCAGCTCACCACAGCCCCTTCCCCCCACACCCCAGCCTCCCGGACCAATGGGCACCCGCGGGCAGAGCGCCGGCGAGACCTGGGCCTGCCCCATGACAGCGCATCCACCGCGATGAGCAGCGAGCTGGAGTCCAGCAGCTTCATTGACTCCGACGAGGAGGACACCAGCCGGTGCGCAGGCTGCGGGGTGGGGACTGCCCACAAAGTGACCGAATGGCCGTGCAGCAAGGCGCAAGCCAGTGCGCTGTGTGCGCGCGCGCATGTGTGTGCTCATGTGCGCGCGTACGCTGTTTGCCTGTGATCGAGCGCACCTATATGGTGTACCTGCTGTGGTAACACAGGTCCTTGTGTGTGTGTGTATGTGTGTGTGTGTGCGAGCGCGCGCGCGCGGACGCGCGCACTTGCTTTCTCAGGAAGTTTAACCCTTGGCACTGGCCAGCTGGATGGGACAGGGCGCCAGCTCTCAGCTCCGCCTCCACGCCCCTGCCCGGTGGGCGGGCTCAGGGTTCCCTCCTTGGCCCGTGCCCGCTCTGATCCGCGACCCCCCGCCACTCCTCGGCGGGACCCGCAGGCTGAGCAGCTCCACGGAGCAGAGCACCTCCTCACGGCTGATCCGAAAGCACAAGCGACGGCGCCGGCGGCAGCGCATGCAACAGACTGACCGAGTATGCGGGCGGGGCTGGAACGTGCAGACCAGGATGGGGTGGGGGCGGGGTCAGCCCCCCTTCACCCTGCCCTCGTCCCCCTCTCCCAGGCCTCGTCCTTCAGCAGCATCACGGACTCCACCATGTCCCTGAACATCATTACCGTCACGCTTAACATGGGTGAGGTCCCGGGGACACTGCCTGGCTTTTCACCTGCCCCTGGGCCCTGCCTGGCCCCTAGCCCCACCCCCCCTCACTCCTGCCCACCGCTCCCACCCGCAGAGCGGCACCACTTCCTGGGCATCAGCATCGTGGGGCAGAGCAACGATCGCGGCGATGGTGGCATCTACATCGGCTCCATCATGAAGGGGGGCGCTGTGGCAGCTGATGGCCGCATCGAGCCGGGGGACATGCTGCTGCAGGTGGGAGGCCCCAACCCTGCCTTGGACACCACCCACCCTCTCATTCACCCCTGTTGTTGGCCTCCACCCTTACCACTGCTGACCCAGAGACCCCATTGGCTCCCAACTCCCCTGCCGTTACTGACCCCTCCCTCCCGCCCCGCCCCCAGGTGAATGATGTCAACTTTGAGAACATGACCAACGATGATGCAGTCCGCGTGCTGCGGGAGATTGTGTCACAGACGGGGTGAGGCCCGCTGCGGTGAGGGACTGGCTGGGGGGACCTAGCAGTCTGGGTGACCGGCCCCGCTCCCCTTGCAGACCCATCAGCCTCACTGTGGCCAAGTGCTGGGATCCGACCCCCCGGAGCTACTTCACCATACCCAGGGGTGAGTGACTTTGCAGGGCAGGGCCAGGGGCATTGGACGGCAAGGGCTCGAGAGCTGTCTCTGCTGCGCCCTCTCCTCCACCTGACCTTTTCTGTTTGCCACTTATGGTGCTCAGCTGACCCGGTGAGGCCCATCGATCCAGCCGCCTGGCTGTCCCACACGGCGGCGCTGACAGGTGCCCTGCCCCGCTACGGTACGAGCCCCTGCTCCAGTGCCGTCACACGTACCAGCTCCTCCTCACTAACGAGCTCTGTGCCCGGTGCTCCACGTAAGTGCCCGGCCCCGGGCACCGCATTCACCCAGGCGCCAGCCGCCAGACCTGCGCCAGCACTTTGCATGGGTGCCCCCACCAGGGTCCGGTCTCTCCTGGGCCACCCCCTTGCAGACATACCTGGGACCGGCCTGGCCTTACCTATCAGAGCCCAGGAGTTCCCAGCAGGGCAACTGCCAACATGGGTCTCAGACCCACAGACAGCTGCTCCTTCCTGCACCCCACGTCCCCCCACATGGCCTACAGCTCCCTGCACTGCCATGTTCCTACATCGTTCATACCCACTATGTCCCCTGCACCCCTTCATTCCTCTGTGCATTCCCCCCCTCGTGTCCCTCCTGTCTCCCATCATCCTGTTGTTGCTGTGGTTGTTAGGTGCCTTCAAATCGGTGCTGACCCGTAGCGACCCGGTGCACAACAGGATGCAACACTGCCCAGGCCTGTGCCGGCCTCACAGTGGCTCTTATGCCTGAGCCCTTGGCTGCAGCCGCTGTGTCAGTCCATCTCCCTGCGGGCCTTCCTCTTCTTTGCTGAGCCTCTGTGGTGCTCTCCCCAGGGACTGGCCCATTTATCCCCAACAGCCCCTCCGATCTCTGTGTCTCTCTCCTTTGTACACTCACATTCCTCCACTCCCCCCACCCCCACATATCTCTGTTCATCTCTTACACCCTGGCCTCTCAGCACTCGGCCTTGGGGGTGACAGATAGGAAAGGCTGGGCCAGCCCCTTGGGGTGCCTGCTGGGTGGGCCGTGGTGGGGTGGGAAGAGATGGGTGCATGGATGTGGCCCGCCCTCTGCTTTCTGCCACTAACAGGACTAACAGCCCCACAGCTAGCGGGAGTGGGGGGTAGGCGGGAGTAGGAGTGGGGGATACGGCCCGTCACCCTCGGGTATTGTCCACGTCCTATGGAAGTGCCCGGAAAGATGGGAGATGCAGCTCCCCTCCCCACCACTGTGTGTGCCCTTTTAGAATTTCCTCCATGCAGGACAGGGTGTCAGCCCAGCCCCCAAGAGGGAGGCTTCCTGCCTCAGAAAGGGGTTTGGCTGTGATCCTCCCACCCCCCAAGAAGGGGGTGGCCCTCGTCTCGGCCCCCAGAGGCCAGTTCCCGATCCCCGGGTGCCTTACAGAGCTGGAGGAGGTGCCCCTGACGGTGAAGAGCGACATGAGTGCTGTTGTGCGGGTCATGCGGCTGCCGGACTCGGGGTTGGAGATCCGAGACCGCATGTGGCTCAAGATCACCATCGCCAACGCTGTCATTGGTGGGTGCAGGGGCGGGCAGGCGCGCGGCAAGCTTCTGGGTGGGGCCAACCCTGAGTGCTGCCTGGTGCCACAGGCGCGGACGTGGTGGACTGGCTGTACGCCCACGTGGAGGGCTTCAAGGAGCGGCGCGAAGCCCGCAGGTACGCCAGCACCATGCTGAGGCACGGCTTCCTGCGGCACACGGTCAACAAGGTCACCTTCTCAGAGCAGTGCTACTACGTCTTTGGCGACCTGTGCAGCAGTAAGTGTGCCTGGGGGGAGGGGAGGCGGGCTGGGACTTGTCCTCCCCACCCCCCCACCCGTGACCAGCACCCTCACCGCCCCTCTGTCTGGCAGATCTGGCAGCCCTGAACCTCAACAACGGCTCCAGCGGGACCTCAGATCAGGACACCCTGGCCCCGCTGCCCCACCCGGCTGCCCCTTGGCCTTTGGGCCAGGCCTTCCCCTACCAGTACCCGGGGCCCCCGCCCTGCTTCCCGCCCGCCTACCAGGACCCTGGCTTCAGCTACGGCAGTGGCAGCGCTGGCAGCCAACAGAGTGAAGGTGAGACCCCTGCTGGGCCACCCAGCCCCTCGCTGTTCCCTTGCTGCCCCCACCGCCTGGCTCTGCCCCTGCCTCCCTCTGCTGCCCCCTGATTCCTGCAGCTCTGTGCTTGGGCCATGGGCAAGCGTCCTTCAGGAAGGGTTGAGGGCCACCATGCCCAGGAAGCATGGGTTTCTGCAGCCATTGTCAGTGGATGAGGGGAGGGACGAGGAAGAATCGGAGGCAGCGGTAGCTTGGTTGGGGTGGAGGGTGGACTTTAAGGGGCAGGGAACAGAAGGGCTGGTGGCCTAGGTATGGAGGCTGGCAGTCAGCCCACGGGCAGGGCAGTCTGGCGGGGCTCAGGAGCCACACAAGGAAAGGTATATGGGGTGATAGAGAACATAGAATGTGTGCCAGGGTGGGAGGACAGCCCCCTCTAACCATTGCCTAGCTGGCTTTAGGGCACAGAGGCAAAAATGCCACCTACTTGTGGCATGGCCATCTTGGCGTGGGGGAGGGGGTTGAGCCTGAGGGGTGAGTCAAAAGAGCCCTGTCTTGGGTGGAGGAGGTCAGAATCTGGGGGACAGAGGCTAAGGGGGGGAGGTGCTGAGGGTGCAACTGAGTGGGAGGAGGGGAGGGGTAGGCCCATGAAGCTGTTCTGGGGTGCTGTGTGCAGTCTCTAGGGGGGGGGGCCCAGGTCAGCGGGCACCAGGCCACCGCGGTGTGTAACTCCTGCTATCCCTTGTTTTGTGCTGAGCAAGCGTTAGACTGAAGCTCTAGAGGACAGGACCCTCAGGGCCGGTAAGCCAGGGGCCCACCCGGTGTCCCTTTCGGCATCCCCGTCAACATGACCCCGGCTGGCCCATGTCCTCGGGTCCCTCTCTAGCCCCTGGGAGCCCGGGAAGAGGCACTGAGCAAGGCGGGCAGTAGTTGGCCAGGCCCCCAGGGGCTAGGGAGATGGGTGGATGTTCGGGTGGGAGGGCTATCAGGTTTGCTGGGGCCTTCCCCAGGTCCTCAGTTTCTCAGCCACAGGACTGAGCAGTCAGGTGGGGCTGGGGGTGGGGGTGGGGCGGGTTGTGGACCCTAGAGTGTGCCGCCATCCATGCTGCTTCCCACCCCCGCTGAGTGCACCCTGCCTCCCTGGTGAGGCCTGCCCGTGCCTCTGCATGGCTGGGACCCTTTCCCTTGGCCACTGCCTGGATCTCCTGGCTATGCTGGAGGGGCCAGAACTGGACCTGACTGGCTCTTCCCTTTACCACCCCCAGGAAGCAAGAGCAGCGGGTCCACCCGGAGCACCGGCGGAAGCAGCCGGCGAGCCCTGGGCCGTGAGAAGGAGCTCCGAGCAGCCGGTACAGGGGGCAGCGGCAGCGAGCTGGACCCCACAGCGCCCAGCGGCGTGGGCAGCTGGCGGGAACGCCCAGCCAGCCAGCTCAGCCGTGGCAGCAGCCCTCACAGCCAGGCTTCGGCCGCTCCTGGGCTGCCTCCCTTGTGCCCCCTGGCCAAGGTGTATGCAGCAGTGGGAGGGCCGCCGGGAGGGCCACCTGTGCGGGAGCTGGCCTCCGTGCCCCCGGAACTCACAGGCAGCCGCCAGTCCTTCCAGAAGGCCATGGGGAACCCCTGTGAGTTCTTTGTTGACATCATGTGACTGACGGAGAAAGTGCCTTCAGCCCCACCGGCCGTAGGGGCGGTCTTGCCCCCTGCATGGAAGTCACCTTCCCACCCACGGAGGGAAGGGGGGACAGGGGGAGGGGGTAGCAGCCCATAGGGGCTGTGTGTTGGGGCTTGCCTTAGTGACAGCCAGGCCTGAGGTGGCGCCGGGGTTTTCAGTCTGTGGGACGGGGGAAGGGTCAAGCTGGGTGGGGGGCACTAGGGTCAAAACTCAGTGCCTGTCTGCTTGCAGGCCCCTTCTAGTGGGAGGGTGGCCTAGTGGACCCACAGACTTTAGCCAGAGCTGGGAGGCCACTGGACCTCAGGCAGGTCTAACCGCCCACCGGGGTGTGATGCCCCCTCCCTCAGAGGAAGCTCCTCTCAGTCCCCATGCTGAGCCTCAACTCACCCAGAGGCAGCACAGGCCCCTCCCCGCTCAGCCCACCTGACCCAGGACAGAGGGCATTCGGGATCAGCCCGTGTGTGTGGCTGCCCAGAGCAAAGATCTAATTTATTTATTTATTGTTTGGCCCTATACTCCGGGGGGTGGGGGGTGGGTCCTGATCAGCCCCACCGTGGTTTGCATGCTCTGCTTTCTGTCCCTGGCCCGCAGGTGTCTTGAGAATGTGTGGAGGAAGAGAGGAGTCAGCCCCGCTTGGTGATGGGGTGGGTGAGGGGATTCAGCTGGCCCCAGGCAGAGGGGCAACAGGATCCTGAGGGGCAGGGACCTGGGAGGGGGAGCAGTCCCCAGGTTCTTCCCAACCCACCCACCCACTGGCCCTCAGGCCCTCAGCCCGCACAGGCCATGCTGTAGATACTGTATCAGAGTCTGAGAACCTGCATTAGTTAATATATAGCTGCTCCATGTAAATGCTGCTTCCATGTAAATGCTATTTTAAACACTAAAAAGGTTTAATTTTATGGGACTGACACGTGGCTTTGTCCCTCTTTCCTGCGGCTGCTGCAAGAGATGGGCTCGGGGCACCAATCATCATTCCCAGGGCCCAGGAGAGCTGAGTCCAGGCCTGGGCAAGCCCAGGAGCCTGCCTGTGTGACAGTGTCTCCTGTGCAGTCACTGGGGGCCTGGCAGGCAGCTGTCTGTGGTGCTGGCTTCCTGCCCGAGGGGTCCTGGCTGCTGGCGCTGGCCACGGTGCTGACCCCAACCGCGGGGCCTCTGTCCGCGGTGCTGGCGGCCTGCCTATCCTTGCTCCACCTAGTCCAGGCCTGGGAAGAGGGGAAGCTGGCAAGGCTCCATTGAGTGGCATATGCTCTGGGACCTCTGATTTGGGGTGGGGGTGGGGTGGGGGCGGAGACAGGTCTGCGGTGGGGTTGCACCACACAGGTGCCCAGCTCCTAGTCCCAGATCAAAGCTGTGTGGACCCCAGCTAGGTGTTGCCCGATGCTGCCTCTGGGGGCTTTCCCACTGTGGGCAGCCCCCAGATCTGGAGGGCCCTGCAGAGTTGGTGGGACAAGTGGGCCTCTCTTGGAATGTGGGAACAGGCCACTCAGTAGAGACTAGGAGAAGTTGACTTGTGGGGGACCCGAGTCCCATGTGTACAACACAGGCTTCGGGTCACGGGGGTCAAGGTCAGCTGTTACCTTGAGGTTAGACCCTTGGGCTGAGGGGTCTTAAGAGTCTGGGCACTGACTGGGGCTTGTGGGCTGGGGACTCCTGCTCTGGGGTTCTATTGGGCTGGGGTCACCGAGGGTGAAGTCACGAGGTCTGGGGACACTGCCCCTCGGTTCCCTTGCATCTCCCCTCCACCCCCAGGCCCCTCCCCCAGGAAGAACTCGAGGTTGTTGAGTGCCGGGTGCCACAGCAGGAGGTAGCACTTGGGCAGGTGGACGGTCACCAGGATGCCCAGGGCGCAGAGGAGGATGGCACCCATCTGCACGGCGGGCTGGTAGGCCACGTGCACATTGGCAAGGAGCGGCACGAAGGAAACCCAGGTGATGAAGTAGGCCAGCATGGCAAAGGTGAGCCCGCGCGCTGGGTTGTAGCGGCCTGGCCGGCTCTGCACCAGGAAGGTGCCCAGGAAGCACAGGAAGGCCAGCATGGCATTGAGGGCATGCACCAGGCCGAAGCTGACCCAGGAGCGCGTACGGCAGTGCACCAGGGCCTCTTGGGGGAGCATCTGCCAGTCGGTCACCACCTCTGATGGGAACGCCGCCACGTTCCAGGCACACAGGGCTGCCTCGAGCACCACGGCCAGCACCACCACCAGCCAGGCCCTCGGTGCCCGGAGCCAGCCCTGCAGCCGCCCCGTCCAGCTGGGTGGCAGCTCTGACTCCGCGAAGATGGCCGCTGCCTGGAGGAGCAGCGTGCTGAGGCAGCCGGTCAGGGGCAGGTGCAGCAGTGGCTGCTGAGCGAGGCAGCTGGCAGGGCTGGGCCACCCGGGGAACAGGAGCACGCTGAGGCAGACGAGGCCCAGGCAGGCCAGGCCAAAGCAAGCCAGGGAGCCACCCGAAGCCCGCACCATCGGGCTGTGCCAATGGAGTGTGAAAAGCCTCAGGGCCGCCAGCGTCAGGCCCAGCACCAGGCCCAGCAGCACCAGCAGCCCCAGTGTGACCGGCTCCCCCCACGTCAGGAACTTGGGCCTGCGGGGGAAGCAGCGCGTGCTCCGGTCGGGGGACCACTCTTCTTGGCGACACGGGGAGCACCAGAGGTCATCTGGAGCAGAGGGGGCGGTGAGGAGAAGGGTGCTTGAGCAGCAAGCACAGCCAGCCGTGGGGGCCCACCCTGCCCCCGGCGTGTGGGCGACTCACCTGTGCTGTGCCTGTAGGTGCCTGCTTTGCAGTCCATGCAGTCATAGCAGCACGAGTGGTAGCCTTTCACGCGGCGGATCTGGCCCTGGGCGCACTGTCTTGAGCACTGGGACACTGGCACCTGGGGCCGGTGGCACAGTCTCAGCCTACCAGCTGAGTGGTTCCCTTCCCCCCCCTGCCAGCCACACCCACCAGGGTGGAGGTGTGAGCAGGGGCCCTGCCCCTGTGCTCTCCTGGCAGCAGGGTGCTCTGTCCCAGCAGCCTGAGACCTTGTGATGGGGACTCCCGCCTGCCTCACCTGGTTGCCTGGAGTGTGCCACAGGATCTGGGAGGGGCGAAGCCAGAGCCGGCTGTTGAAGACCCCCACAGTCCGGAACTCAGGCTTGTGGTCCCGCCACACCCACAGCTTCAGGTCATACATCATCTCCACGTTCCCGCTGGCGTCAAAAGTCAGCTCCAGGTCGCGGGCTCGGAAGGTCATGTTGTACATCTTCTCTAGGAGCTGACCCAGGGGAGGGAAGACGGTGGGCAAGTCCGGAACTGCCCTGCCCCCTCCATCCAGACCCCCCGGGGCCACGCCTGCTCCTGGTGGACCCTGTGTGCAGTCGGAACAGGCGGTGCCTGTGGCCATGCCCTCACCTGCCAGGGCCTCACGGGCTCGTGCGCGGGGCAGCTGGAGGCGCTGCAGCGCAGCGCATTGTGCAGAGCCTGGGCCACACCATAGACGGCCGCGTAGGCAGCAAAGGTCTGGTGGTGCAGCAGCCTGGTGGTCAGGTTCTGGGGCGTGATGTGGTCGCACTGCGGGCAGCGCGGCCACACCTCGGGTTCATCCTGGCCTGGCTGCGCAGCCTCCAGAGACGCACAGAAGGCTGGGTCAGCGGCCAGGGCCAGGCGGGTGGCCACGTAGTCCGAGAACTCGGGCAGCTGGGCACCGCGCATCAGGAAGCCAAGCACGGTCCCCACCTGGTCCATGCCGGGCAGCGTGGGCAGCAGGTCCGAGGCCAGCCATGCCTCGCTGGCCACCCATACCTTGGGTTCGAGCTGGCTGTGGATGCTGTAGTTGAAGAGGGAGAGCGCAGCTCGGGCTGAGGCGAAGAGTACCACCACCTGCACATTGCTCTGGTTCACCGCCCGCAGCAGCTTCTCCACCTGGCCCAGTCGTGTGCTGTGGGCACGTGGCAGCGGCACTAGGCCCTCGTGGGCGATGCAGATGCCATGGGTGCTGGCCAGGCTGGAGAAGATGCTCAGGCCCTGGCGGCCGTACTCATCGTCGCTGCCCACGGCCGCCACCCAGTTCCACTTAAAAAACATCAGCAGCTCCACCACGGCCTTCAGCTGCACGCGGTCGCTGGGCACTGTGCGGAAGAAGGAGGGGAATGTCTCCCGGGTGCTCAGTCGGTCCGTGCTGGCTCCATAGCTGACCTGCAGGTCAAGGGCCTTGGTCAGGCTGTGCTATATGGTGGTGGTGATAGTGAAGTGGGGGAGAAGCGGGGTGGCCCGGCCGGGCTGGGCTCTTGGACCAGGCAGTGGGCGCACCTGGGGCATGAGGAAGAAGCTGAAGAACTTGCCAGTGATGAGGGCCAGCTCGGAGGAGTGGGGCCCGATGACAGCCAGCACACGAGGCTGGTACTGAGTGTAGTTGCAGTAGGCAGCAAGGTTGAGGCTGCCCGCCTTAGCCAGGAACAGCAGGCTGGGCTTCATGGCCACCACAGGCTCTGCGCATGTGTCAAACAGGTCGTAGCCCAGACGCAGCCCCGGCAGCAGGTCAGACCCGTTGTTGATCTCCTCCACGGCCATCTTCACAGCCAGCGCCCAGAGCAGGCCAAGGGCCGAGAACCTGGGGCATGCAGGACTGAGGACACGCTGCAGACAGGGCTACCCCCATTGGCTGCCCAGGCTACCTGGACACCCAGCCTGTCCTTTGCTTCACCTCATTCCCACCCCAGACTCTCCTAGAGCCCAGCCCTGGGACAGTCCCAGACCCCCACCCGTCCTGTACCTTTTGCAACTGGTACTTTCTGGCTGTGTCCTGTACCCGAGGCCAGAGATCTCAGCTGAGCTCATGGGGAAGAGCCCACCCAGCATGTAGTCACCGTGCATCTTCAGCTGGCGCGACAGGCACAGAGGGCCCCCCACAGCCAGGCCCAGCACAGCCAGGAGACCCAAGGAGGCCAAGAGGTGGAAGCCCAGGGGAGGCAGCCCAGGCATAGTGGCGGGCCAGCTTCAGCAGGGACGGGTGAATTCTCTGGCGGAGACCGAGCTATAGGGAGTGTACGTGGCAGGAGGGAAGAGAAGATTTGTTTAGCAAAACCCTCGCTGTCCTCACCTGCAAAGCCCCAGGGGCCTGGGGTGGGGGCGTGGGCATTTTCACACTAACTTGGCTGACTCTGCTGCACGTTTGCACACCTGACAGTTCTAGTCTGGTGCTGCTTACACAAGATGAGCTGGCCAGGCAGGTTCTGAGCCTCAGCTGCCCACACCCCCAGTCCTGGAGCCACCCAGCAGACCTCAAAGGGGCCTAGGAAGAAGAGGGAGAGAGCACAGGGGTGCCTCAAAGTGAGGGCCGTAAGTCTCAGCCTGAGGGAAGGGCTCAGAGGGACCATCCTCTCCTGAGTCTGGCAGGAGGCCATGTTCTCCGTAGTCAGGGGGCTGCAGGGTGGGGGGCTCCATCTCATGAAGCAAAAGGCCCCTCCATCTGGAAGAACCTGAGGTCGCCTGGGCACAGCACACCTGGATTCATCTGCGGCCCGGGGCCCGGCCTGTTCCGGGCTGATTGTTCTGGGGCAGAGTTCCCAGCTGGGCTTGAAGAATCCATGCAAAAGAGAGGGGAAAGGCACAACCAAATGGGCAGATGCAGCTGTCTGAGCTGGGGCAGGGCAGTGGGGCTAGGTTAGGCACACGCGCATGCGCACTCGTGTGTTTGCATGCCCCGGCAAGGCTGGACCACCGAGAAGGGATGCAGCGATGTCTCTGGGCCTTGAGACCGCTCCCTCCCCACCTAGGTCTGGGGGGGATGTCCTCCCTGAACCCCCAAACAGGAGCCCCGGTGGGTGTGCAGCAAGCCCTGAGCACAGGAGGAGCCTTCAGGGGGGCGGGGGCGGGTGAGGCAACCCTGTTGAGAGGAAGGTGACCATCTCCGGCAGCTGTTGGTGGGGTTGGGCTAGGCGCCTCCCCTCCACTCTGTCCTGTGGGAGAGGCCCCCGTTCTAGTCTCACACACGGGCACATGTGCTCACATGAACCAGTGCACATGCACACCACCGTGTCCCAGCCTACAAATGTGTATGACAGTGTTCACACACGCGTGTGTATACCCTTTCCCAGTGGGGGAGCACCCACCCTGGACCCTTCCAGGGTTGCCCACCACCAGACCCTTTGCCTGTCTGCCCTGACGCCCCCAGGCTCCTCCCCAGTTGGTGGGCAAGTCTCTAGCACATCCCAGCGCTGCCATCTACAGAACTACCTAGTCCAGTAAACATGATTTATTCACACTGGAAGGCCCACCACATGTAACAGTTTCCTGGGGTCAAGTCCATCCCGAAGCTTCAGTGGAGTGTGTCTATTTTATGTGCACTGTCCCTGAGGCCACCAAGAACAGAGCTGGTGTGAGAGGCCTGGCCCAAGGACAGCGGGTCCAAGACTGTCCCTGGCCCAGGTGCAGGTTAGCTTGCAGAACACTGTGTTGGGGCAAGGAGGGGCGCCTGGGCCCAGCCGCAAACAGCTCCCCAGGGGCCTCTGGGCTGCACAGACCACAGGCAGATGCCAGGGAAAGGAGGTGCCTGTTGATGCATCTGCAGGGCACAGCAGGTACCTCAGCATCAGGTGTTGGGCCCCAGGCCTGTGGAGCACCTGTGGAGACAGACCAGGCTTGGGGGCCAAATGCCGGCCCTGGCAGACACAAGGTGGCCAGTGGTGTGCACTGTGGCCTGAGGTGGGAGTGGGCTGGACACACATACACCTGGGCACTGGGGAGGTAGGCCTCTAAGCCCCTGGGACTGTGACCACCACTTCACAGACATGGGCAGTTGGAGGCCTGTTGGGCTGCAGTAGCTAACAGATCCCTCTTCCACCCTGGATTGCCTTTCTGTTCCGCTGTCAGTCACTGTAAACCAGGTGCCTGCTGAGACAGCCAGGTTACATGGACAGCCACTGCCTAACCAGGACAGGATGGGAGTGGATGGCCAGCGCCTGCTCCTTGGTCCGTCTGCCAGGCGTGAGGGAGGATACAGCTCGAGGTCCTGTGCAGACCCACCCATGCACTAGGGCAGGTCCAGCAGTGCGTGGTCCGCATAGAGCTGCTGAGTGATCTCGTAAACCCGCTCCAGGAAAGGCAGCGCCTCGTCCAACATCGCCACGGCCTGCTCGGGAGGCCCCGCCTTCATGGACTCCAGGAAGACTTTGCGCGTGGGCAGGGTACAGAAGGCCATGGTGACGGCCTGGCGCACGACCCAGGGGTGGTAGGCAGCCAGCGAGGCATTGTAGGAGTCGGTGCAGAGCATGGAGGTGCGGGCGTCCTCGGGGCTGGCCCGCAGCCCCTCCAGGAAGAGCTGCAGCCAGCGCAGGGCGCGGTGTAGCCGCAGCAAGGTGCGGCAGCCCGAATTGGGGTGGCCGGCCCGCCGTTGCAGGTCCACCAGCTGGTGGCCAACCTCATAGGCCACCATGGACTGCAGGTTGATGTAATTTTCACCCTGCGGGCTGCGGCGCAACTGCTCCATGATCTGCAGCTTTGCAACCACGTCCTTGGAGATGAAGGAGAAGATGGTGCCCAGACTGTTCAGAAACCTGCTCCAGGGAAAAGGCTGGTCTCAGGCTGTGTCTCCCAGGGCCCCGAGGAGGGGTATGTAGAGCCTGCCTCCCTCCCTTCCAGGCTGAGGGGGCTGGAGCTCCGCCCGACCTGACCCCTTTACCCAAAGGCAAGGGGCCTTGGCACCCCCCTCTAAGGAAGGCAGATGCTACTAGCTATAGCACTTAGCTCGGTCCCCAGCAGGCAGGTATCCTTAGCCAGATGCTTACAAGGCCCTGCAGAATTACAGGGCTCTTTGGCCAGGAAAATCCCTCCCCATCCCTAAGCCAGGTGATGGGGCCAGCCACAGGGTGCCCCAAGGGCACATACTTCACCAGCCCCCGCCAGCCACTGAGGTAGTGGTCTATCAGGATCTCCTCGCTCTCATTGAGGCACTGCTTGAAATTGACCAGGACCACTTTCAGGTTGAAATCTGTCTCTGAGTCATCCATTTCCAAGAGGAACTGAAATACACAAAGGCCTCTATTAAGTCGGCTGCTAAGTTCCTTTTTCCCACCGTCAGAAGGAATGGAAAGAGTTGGAGAAGAGAGCTGGGATCTCCCCTGCTCTGCTTGGAGTCCCACGCCCTAGAACAGACTTCTTCCCAAGGCTGGCTGGTCTGCCTTCCAGACAAGCCCTCCTACCCCTTCCCCACCCAGTGTGGCAGGTTTCCTCAGACCCCCACGGTGCAGTTCTCAAGCTGCTGTCCTGGTCACGTGCTTCTTAGCCATTTGTGTCTCACCACAGTGTGTCTTTGGACTGCTGGACAAGCACTTACTGAGCCCCCGTCAAGGTGACCTAGTGGGAAGGGCAGACCGCAGGCAGTAAGCACACGAGATCCTGATGTCCTGTGTGAGGTGATGAGTCTCCTAGAAGGAGGATCAGGGGAGCCAGGCGGGCAACCTTCTGCCTTCCTGAGTCACCACAGTACCACTAGTGCCGGAGCAGTGGTTGTGGAACCGTGCCTGCTAGCTGGACAGACAGACCCCATCTTTTACTCTTGCTGCTGAAATTGTACATGTTCTGTATAGGAGGGCAGCAAGGCCAATACTGCCCTATGATCCTCGAAGCCCTAGGGAACCTGCCAACCGAGGCCAGAGGCTGTGAAGAAGGCACTGCTCTGGGTCCTGCGCGTTCACACCTCACCTCACAACATTCAATGTGCACGTAAGAGTGGGCGCCTCCCTGGGTGCACTGCCCCAGAGGCCTCTCTCCGACTGATGTTTGAGGCCAACTGCAACAGAGCCTGGGGACTTCGCCACATGCCATCTTGTGTCCAGGACAAATGCGTGCCTGGGGGTTCCTGGGCAACCTCGGTGCGGGGGGGGGGGGGGGGGGGGGGGGGGCGACCCCCACCCTAGTGGGGCCTCTGCTGTGTTGAGAGAGCTATGTTGACTGCCTGTGTTGAGAGCCTGGGTTCCTGTTCTGCTTTTCATTCAGTGGGTTGGTCATCCAGTGCTCTGGGGAGAAAGAGGTCAGCACACCCTGCCTGTCCCGTGCCAGGCTGCTGGGAGCCTTCAGGAGCAGCGAGGAGCTGAGGCCCTGCAGGCCCCACGGGTTTGGCGGCATACCTGACTGTGGGTGGAGTTCCAGAAGGTGAATTCACTCTGTCTACAGATTAAGAGGGGGGAAAGGTCATGCCTGGGCTCGGTTAGATGGTGCCCTGAACCTTTAGACAAAGCCCTCTTCAGGGCCTCAGTTCTCTGTCCACCGAACAGATAGGCTCTGAGAGTCCTTCCTGGTTACTAACCGCCCTGCCGTTATGTCTTCCTGCCCAGGATCCGGCCAGCAGCTCGTAAGGAGCTGTCAGGGAGCCTTTCAGGCCGCCCAGTCTTTAACAGAAACCGTGGGCAGCCTGCCAGTTCTAGGATGGTGACTGCCGGGCCCCACCCAGGTTCTCCCAGAGGCATTTCCAACCCCAAGGTCAGGGTGGGGGAGGGGGGCGGCCTGGGCACAGAGGTCTGTGATGGACAGCAGGCTAGCATCCTGGCAGGAGGGAGGGCAGCCTGGTGTCCAGGCCTCCGTATGGGAGTGGGGTCCCTGTCCCCTGGAGCCAGCAAGTCTCCCCAGCGTAGGAGGCTGTGGCACTGGGTCCTGCGATTAGGGAGGGGGCAGCGTCGAGTCCCTGGGCGCGTCCTGCTCCAGCCGAGGGACCCGGGATGGGACGGAGGCTTTGGGCGATGGTGGGGGGCCGTCTTGGAAGCCAGGGCTCAAGACGTCCGTCCCGCCGCAGCCTTCTCTTCCACCCCGGGGACCCGCGCCCGACTCCTCCAGGGCTCCAGACCCACCTCGATCGCCTCGGTTAGCGTCAGCACGTCCGGCGCCAGCGACCCCGGTCGGCCCCGCTCACCTCCTCAGGACGTCAAGGTGTACAACAGCCCCGCCCCGCCCCGCCCCGCCCTCCCAGCTTGGCTCCCCGCCGCCGCCGCCTCTCCGCGATTGGCTGCGAGGCGCCCAATCAGGAGGCCCGGCGCGCCTGCGTTTCCGGATCAGAAGGCCGCGCTCTCGGGGTTGCGCCTGCGCAGTGCGGCGCCGCGGCGCCGGAACTCCCGACTGCGCGGGCTTGAGGGGCCTCCGCGGTGGGGTCCGGAGCGGCGAGGAGCGGAGCTCGCGCTTTTCGCCGGGGCCCGCACCCCCTCGGGCGCCTCTCTTCCGGGGTCTCTCCCCAGCCGAAGGAAAGCCCCGCGTGACCCCGGGGACGCAGCGGGAGCTCAGGGCGCAGTGTCGGCCGGTGAAGATGCCGGAGATCAGAGTCACCCCCCTGGGTAAGCTCGACCCTGCTGCCGTCAGGGGGGCCTGGAAGGAAGTGGTTGCTCCAGTGGGCGATGGCGGCGCGGCCAACCCGTGGTCGGGAGCCCGTCGTCTGTGCTCACCACAGCCCTGGGCGTTGGGTGAAGGCCCCGTGTCGTGGCCGCCTTCTAGGGGCCATGCCCCTCTGGTGGCGTCGTGGTTCCGCCCGGAGCTGCTTAGCTAGGTCCGCGGTGCGAAACCCCCCGAAAGACGGGGCGCCCTATTCCAGTCAAAAGTGACCGTCTTGGGAACTCATAGGGCCACCGCTACCCGGCTCTATAGGGTCGCCAGGAGGCGGCACCCACGATGGCAGTGAGTTTGGTTTGGGATATGGTGGCTGGCTCACAGAGAGGCTCAGTGCTCACTCAAACCCATGTCACCGTGAGAGGTTCCACCAGTGCGGTGGCCCTCAAGCGCCGGCTCCTTCTGTAAGCATTGTTCGCTACCATCCCCTGGAGAAGTGTCAGTCTCAGCCTCCTGCCGCCACTGGTGCCATGGTGGTGGGTGTGAGCCCTAACCTCTTTGTGTGTGTTTCCCCCCAGCAGTTTTATTGGCAGGTTATTGACATGTAATTCAGTACTTCAGTCATCACTGGGAATTGTACAATCACCCCCACGTCAGTTTTAGAGCCTTCCCCCTTCTCCGTGATTAAATCGCCTTTAAAATGATTTATGCAATCACAATCCATTCTGATGCTCCCTCCCTGCTCCTGTCTTCATTACTTACTCCCGAAATCCCCTTTCCCTCCCTATCTTACTCCCCCACCCCCACCCCGAGCCTAGGCCTCTTACCTAGCTGGGTGCCCCCTCCCCCAAACCTCCACAGAGTTTTTGGTGCACCCACCTCCAGGATCGAAGGCTCTGCACCAGGTGGGCCGCTAAGTACCCAACAGTGGTCTCTCTCCTGGGCCTCCGTGCCCAGGCGTAGCCTGTGGAGGCTCTCTGAGGGTCCTGGAGCAGGCAGCAGGCCAAGGTCTTGGGATGGTGGGCAGCATTTAGAGCCTGAGGCAGGGACCCAGGGAGGAGTTGGTGCGGCAGCCTTCCTCATAACCCGTCCCTGCACAGGAGCTGGCCAGGATGTGGGCCGCAGCTGTATCCTGGTTTCCATCGCTGGCAAGAACGTCATGTTGGACTGCGGGATGCACATGGGCTTCAATGATGATGTGAGTCCCGAGGGTCCGTCTGGGGGCTGGGTCCCCTGGCAGCAGCACTCTCACCCAGCTCTCCTGGGCCCTGGATGGCAGTGAAGCAGGGAAAATTGGCCATGGAGGTGCCCCTGCTCTTGGGTTACTGCATCCTGACCCCTCTCCTGACACCGGCATTTCCCTAGCGGCGTTTCCCGGACTTCTCCTACATCACCCAGAATGGCCGGCTCACTGATTTTCTGGACTGCGTCATCATCAGGTAAGCAGGCCACACCCTGAAGGGTCCCTTGTCTGCCCCCTGCTGTGCTGGAGAGAGCACTTGATGGGTGGTGTTCTCTCTAGGGTTCCCTGTGCAATGTGCGTCCAAGGGTTGTGCCCTGGGGTGTGTCCACAAGAGCCCGGCCATGGTTCCCCCTGGGAAGACTAGGCTCTACCTGGTTTCCCCTTGGACTTCACTTCTCCCTGCAGCCTCCGTGTTTGCAGCATGCATGGGGACCTTCCCTCTGCCCCAGGCCCTGTTGCCACTGCCTGCCTCCCCGGCCATGCTTCAACCTCTGTCCTAAGGGCTCCTTGACACCATCAGAGTCGGCCACTGCCCCTCCCAGCGTCCATCCATGCTCCTTGTAATCCCAGTGGCCGGTGTGTTGCTCTGCTAAACACATCCACCCTCTGCTGTGCTCATTTCTGACCCCGATCTGTGGTGCCACACAGCAGGCGGCAGGGAGCCTGCAGCTGAGGGGCAGGGAGGGGTGGGAGTGCCCCAGGCTGACCCCACTGCCCTCCACAGCCACTTCCACCTGGACCACTGTGGGGCACTCCCCTACTTCAGCGAGATGGTGGGCTACGATGGGCCCATCTACATGACGCCCCCGACCCAGGCCATCTGCCCCATCCTGCTGGAGGACTACCGCAAGATTGCCGTGGACAAGAAGGGCGAGGCCAACTTCTTCACCTCCCAGATGATCAAGGACTGCATGAAGAAGGTGGTGGCTGTCCACCTGCACCAGACAGTCCAGGTCAGCCCGTGTCACCGCCCCTGGGCCCCTGCCAGGCTCAGCCAAGGCGTAGTATTTAGTAGGGGGCGGCTTGGAGTGCATGGGGGCACGGAGGTCTCAGGGCCCAGTGGGAGCTCTGGGGATGAGAAGAGTGGGCACCCAGGATGGCCTAGGAGGTGAGCAAAAGCCAGAGAGGGAGGAGAGGGGGCAGATTCAGTAGCGTTTCCCCTAATCGTGGGCTTGTCTTGTTCTCCTCGTGGTTTTGCTTTGGACTCATACAGGGGCCGCTGGGCTGTGAGCGCTTACGCTTTAGATGATTGTATTTGTCTGGTCTGAACATGCCACTGCAGTTGCGTCTGGAGCTCAGCTTTCTTGGTACGACATTCCCAGCGTTTTTGATGTCGTCATCAGTGTCTCATGACGTACCTTATCCCGTCTTTCCACCTTCAGCCGTTCGCGGGCATGGCTCTTTCAAATAACACACTTGTTGGGCTTTGGTTGTTACCCGTGACCTCTCTTTTCAGCAGGAGCACTGAAACTCGTTGTTCACACAAGCCGGATGCATGTGGGACCCCGAGTCCCAGCTTACCATCTGCTTCCTGCTTGTCTTGCTGGCTCTGTTTCTCTTTCCCTTCTGAAGGAATTGTTTTGCTTCGTTCAGAATCCCATTTCTCCCTGGTGGTGTTCTTTGACAGTTGCTCGTTGGTCGAGATTACTAAGTGCACCCAGACTTCTCCAGGACTCAGTGTTACTTGGGCCCTTCCAAGCCTGGTGGGGACGAAAGTTAGTCACACTGGGCGGTCAGTTCTGGCTCAGTCTTGTCTATCTGTCCAGCTCCTCAGAGGAGCCCTTCAGCCTGGTGCTTTGAGGGTTGGGCTGCTAACCTCAAGGTCAGCAGTGTGAAACCACCAGCCGCTCCAGAGGAGAAAGACGAGGCTTTCTCCTCCCATAAACAGTTACAGCCTCGAAAACCCACAGGGGCAGTTCTACTCTGTCCTGCAGGGTCTCGATGAGTCAGAATCAACTCATCGGCAGAATCTGGCCTTTTGGTTCAGTCTGCCCCTTCACTGCTCCCCACTACCCCCCACGTTCATCAGCTTTCTCCAAGGAAGGGTTCACAGCCTGCCTGGAGCTGACGAAGCCTGTTTCCATCAGGCTGCCCAGACAACGCACCCATCCTCCTCCTTGGAGTTAAAACGGTAGGCCGCAGTGTGTTGATTGCCCAGTCTGCGTGGAGAAGAGGGTGGTGCCATCTCTTGGGTGTCAGCAGTTGCTCTGAGATGGCTCTAGGGCCAGACTCCTCCTTACTTAGTTCAGAGTCGTTGAAGTGGCCGGAGACGGACAGTCACCAGCCCTCCTCAGCTGTTGCTTCTGCCTCATTCTTGCTCCCCTCCCCAGGGCTTCTGACCACAGCCTGGTGGGCCCTCTTTCTTTAGACCCCAGGTCACTTCCCGTGTCCACCTGTGGCACTTCCATCGTGCCGTCTGTGCTGCGTGCTGGATGTGGTGCTCAGACTAGTGCTTTAGGAACTCTCTCCGGCGTTGGGCAGCACCCGTGCGCCTTCGTCCACTGTGATAAAGACGGTCTTGGTGTTTCCAGAAGCTGTCTTGAAAACAGTTTCTGGTTTTGATGTGTTGGTCGGTGGTGGTTGTTTTGGCTCCTCCCTGCCCCCCCCCCCAAAAAAAATCCTCCTCAATTTCTGTAAATATACCAACCTTAGCAATTTTAAAGTCCTCGTCTGATCATTCCCATTTCAGGAGTCTATTTATTATCTTTTATCAAAAACTCAAAATGGGGAGGGGGGAGCAGGGAGGGAGGGGAAAATGAGGCGCTGATACCAAGGGCTCAAGTAGAAAGCAAATATTTTAAGAATGATGAGGGCACCAAATGTACAAATGTGCTTGACACAATGGATGTATGGATGGGTTGTGATAAAAGTTATATGAGCCCCCAATAAAATGATTAAAAGCAAACAAACTCAAAATAACTTTAGAATGGGTCAACAGGAGTTCACATGGGTCTTTTAACCCAACTGCATGTGTCGTAATCAACTTGACGAGGCCCTCTGCCTGATTGCGAGGCTATTCAGATCCCTGGACCATGGTCAGAGGGGAGTCCACAGAGGCTTAATCTTTGTGGGCACCCTGCAAATGGATTTTGGGCTTCCACCGTCATCCATAGTCTTCTGCAAACTGGGTGTTCACAACTTAAGCTCTGGTACCATTCCCTCCTTCAGATTTGGATTTGATTATTTACAATCCTTGGGTCACCCCTGCTGGTGTGCTGCTTCCATGTGGACACTTGAGGACTGCTTGCTTTCTTTAGTTGATCCTTTCTCGTTCCCCGATCACGTCTCCTCTCTTGGGCCTGATTGATTACGGGGACTGGACGATATGCTTAAAAAAGCTAACGAGGCTCCAAGGGGTGGCTCAGCAGCCAGCCACCCCCCTTCCTTCCACGGCCGGGCCCTTGGCAGCCCCTCAGCTGACCAGCACAACCTGAACTCCGCCCACTCCCTCTGTAGGTGGACGATGAGCTGGAGATCAAGGCCTACTACGCTGGCCACGTGCTGGGAGCAGCCATGTTCCAGATCAAAGTGGGCTCGGAGTCTGTGGTGTACACGGTCGGTGGAGGCTTGGGCCAGGGCCGAGTGGTGGGCTTTCCAAGGGACAGGCCCCCCCTCTCACCCCTGTTCTCCCTCAGGGCGATTACAACATGACTCCAGACCGACACTTGGGGTGAGTAGCCTGTTCATTTGCTTCCCTTAGTGGGGTTCTCCCTGGAAGCCCAGCTTGCAAGTGGGTGGGACCAAGCAAAGGGGGTGCTGCCTGCCCAGCCAGCTGGCACCACGCTGGCATCCTTTCTGTGTCACTTATGCCCCGGCTGCCTTCCCCGGCTCTGGGTAGCTGGCCCACCTGTGCCGAGGAAGCAGGCTCCCGGTGAGGGGCCTGGCTGGCTGCGGCAGCTTGTTGCCCCGATCCCTCGGGTCTGTCTGAGGAGAAGGGCAGGGCCTACTCCAGGGGCACAGTCTCTCCCACCTCGCCCCAGGGCCGCCTGGATCGACAGGTGCCGCCCCAACCTGCTGATCACGGAGTCTACGTACGCCACGACCATCCGGGACTCGAAGCGCTGCCGGGAGAGGGACTTCCTCAAGAAGGTCCACGAGACCGTTGAGCGGGGCGGGAAGGTGACCGCTGGCTGGGGGTCAGGATGGGCGGGCCCTGGGGTCTACGCCACTCGAGCCCTGCTTGGGACACAGTGCCTGTAGCTATCAGATCTGTCGCTGGGGGTGGTCCAAGAGCACCTCCTGGTGCCAGCCTGTCCTCTGAGCCCCTCCTGCCTCCCCAGGTGCTGATTCCTGTGTTCGCGCTGGGCCGGGCCCAGGAGCTCTGCATCCTGTTGGAGACTTTCTGGTAGGTGTGGCCGGGCCTGCTGTCTCTGTGCATGCATGGGGGCGGGCAAGCCACAGCACACACTGACGAGGCTGGGGGGTGGGTTCCTCAGGGAGCGGATGAACCTGAAGGCGCCCATCTACTTCTCGACGGGCCTGACCGAGAAGGCCAACCACTACTACAAGCTCTTCATCACCTGGACCAACCAGAAAATCCGGAAGACTTTCGTGCAGAGGAACATGTTTGAGTTCAAGCACATCAAGGCCTTCGACCGGGCGTTTGCGGACAATCCTGGCCCCATGGTGGGTCCGGGTGTCCACCTGCAGGTGGCCAAGTGGGGGTGGGAGTGGATCTTGCCTATATATGCCTGGGGGAGGAAGGGACGCCTGTGCTTGGGAACAACCAGGTGGAACCTGTGGTACAGCAGTGTGGCTCTGTGGGGGTCCAGGCCCCTCGGGTACGCCCCTCACATGCCGACCACCCCTACGCCTAGGTGGTGTTTGCCACACCAGGGATGCTGCATGCTGGCCAGTCCCTGCAGATCTTCCGAAAGTGGGCAGGGTACGAGAAGAACATGGTGAGTGAGGGTCCGGCAGGGAGGGCTCCCGCACACCAGCCATCACGACGGGTGCCAAGACCCTGAGCCTGGCAAGGTCGGCCGCTGGGCAGGGCTCCGGGGGCAGGTGGGGGCTGCTGGTGAGGTGGGGGAGCTCTGTTTGAGCCTCCCTCCCCTTCAGGTCATCATGCCCGGCTACTGTGTGCAAGGCACCGTGGGCCACAAGATCCTCAGCGGGCAGCGCAAGCTGGAGATGGAGGGCCGGCAGGTGAGGGTCGCCCCCTCCTGCCCCTCGGGGCTTGGGTGGGGCGGGCAGGGCCCCTGGGGCCGCGCCTGGGTGACGCGTCGTCTGCCCTGCAGCTGGAGGTCAAGATGCAGGTGGAGTACATGTCGTTCAGCGCGCACGCCGACGCGAAGGGCATCATGCAGCTCATCGGGCAGGCGGAGCCCGAGCACGTGCTCCTGGTGCACGGCGAGGCCAAGAAGATGGAGTTTCTGAAGCAGAAGATCGAGCAGGAATTCCGTAGGCACCAGCTGAGGCGGGGGCCTGGTGCCCGGGGAACACGGGGCAAGTGGGGGAGGGGGTCGGCCAAGCCTGGGCTGAGGCCCCCTCTGCCCATCCGCCCAGGAGTGAGCTGCTACATGCCGGCCAATGGCGAGACTGTGACGCTGCCTACGAGCCCTAGCATCCCCGTGGGCATTTCGCTGGGGCTCCTGAAGCGGGAGACGGCGCAGGGTAGGCTGGGCATCTAGGTGGTGAAGTGGGCGGGGCGTGCCGGGCAGGAGGTAGGCAAGCCAACCCTCCCCCCCGCCCGTTGGCCGCTGTGCTTCCTGCCCACAGGGCTGCTCCCTGATGCCAAGAAGCCCCGGCTGCTGCAGGGGACCCTGATCATGAAGGACAGTGTGAGTGCATGTGGGCAGACACTGCAGAGGGAGCTCTTGTGTCCCCGTCCCTGTCTCCACCATCCCTCGTTCCTGACCTGCCCACCCCAACAGAACTTCCGGCTGGTGTCCTCCGAGCAAGCCCTGAAGGAGCTGGGACTGGCCGAGCACCAGCTGCGCTTCACCTGCCGGGTGCACCTACACGACGCCCGAAAGGAACAGGAGACAGTGATGCGTGTCTACAACCACCTCAAGAGGTGACGGACAGCCCTGGCCCAGCCCTTGGTCCTGGGGCTGGGCCAGGGCTCATCTATCCCCTCTCGCAGCATCCTGAAGGACCGCTGTGTGCAGCACCTGCCCGACGGCTCCGTGACCGTGGAGTCCATCCTCATCCAGGCCGCCGCCCACTCCGAGGACCCCGGCACCAAGGTGCTGCTGGTCTCCTGGACCTACCAGGTAGGAGGCCGCCAAGTCTCAGGCTCTGTGGGTGGCGGTGGGAAGGCGGGGCTCGCTTGCAGTCATCCCCTTGCCTCCCTGCAGGATGAGGAGCTGGGAAGCTACCTGACATCCCTGCTGAAGAAGGGGCTTCCCCAGGCCCCCAGCTGAGACCCCTCAGCCTTGCCTTCTTAACCTCCACGTCCATGTGCCAGAGGGCCCCGCCCGGGATAGTGCCCACGCCTGGGGTCAGCCTGTTGCATCCCCCTGGGTGAGCAGAGCCCAAGTGGGGCCAGACACCTCCTGGGACTCAGGGACAAGCCCGTGATGTGGGCGCTCTTGCTGAGGGCATTTCTGGCTAAATAAACAGCTGGGCTCTGCTTCCTTGTGGTCTTTATTTGTCTCTGGGTCTGGGGTGGGGGGGAGGGTGCACAGGTCTCCGCACTTTCCAGTAAACACAGGTCTCGGGGTCATGGCCTCGAGAGGACCCCTTCCTGATGCTCTTCATCACCTTGGGTGGTGACAGGAGGTTGTGGGCACTGGGCCCCAAGGAGGTGTAGGGAGACAAAGGGCACCCTACATGGGCACGGCAGAAGTCAGGAGGCCAGGCAGGCAGGAAACTAGTGCCCTTCAGAGCTGGGCCAGCACACCAGGCTGCCCTGACCCCAGATGAACATCAGGGTTGCTGGGTCGGCCCCGTCAGCCAGCAGACAGAGGCCAGGTTGCCAGGAGATGGGCCCTGGACACACGCTGTACATGCAAGAAAGGGGCTTGCTGTTCCCGCCATCAGTAGTGTGGCAGTAACCAGGCTTACATCCAGAGCCATCACCCGGAACCTTCATCCTTCAGGTCCTTCCATTGGCCCAGGGCTTCCTCGTCCCATACTCCTGAACCTTCCTGCTGGCCACAGTCCAGAGTCCCATCGGCTGGGAGACAAGATGGCTGTGACACCACTACCAAGAGGCTCACAGTATCTGCCCACTTTCTGCGCCCCCTGCCCCCCCAGCAGGGACTCAGGAGGGGTTGGGCAGTGAGGGACAGCAGGCCCCTCACCCAGTCCCGTAGCTCACCATGGTTCCCGAGGCCTGGGTAGCGCACGGCCACCAGGAACAGGCCTTGTGCTGGGGCCACACGGGTTTGGTGCTTGCCCAGGGGGTCTCGACTCTCAAGGATGGCCTTCACCTGGGCAGGGGTGAGCACTCCCAGCCCCACAGCCACCAACACTGCTGTCATCCTCCGTACCTGCTAGCCCAAGCAGAGGCTGCTCTAATGACCCAAAACCCCTACTTCTCCCACCCGCCACCCTCACCCCCACCCAGGACTGAGCCCACCTGCCGATACAGGAACGACTGACTCTCGAACTCCAGGTTCCAGAAGCGCAGCCCCCTGGGGACACAGGTGCAGTGATAGCTTGAGGCGGCCAACTGGAGGCAGCCCTAGCCCCCAGGTGAGACCCAGCAGGGCATGGGTCAGCCAGGACCAAGTACTCCAGCTGCCCGGAGCCCTCACTGACAGCACCCCCACCCCAAGGCTCCTGAGAGAGGTGAGGCCAAACAGCAGGGGGGGAGGGACTTGGCAGCCAGCCTCAGGGCTCCCAGGAGGCACTGCTGAGGGGGAAGGTCCTGCCTGGGGTCCAGAGCAGCAGAGGGAGGGCAGGCCAGCTCATGCTGGAGACCCTGGATGACATCATTGTTCTTGGCGGGAAGCCAGAGTCCCCTGCAGAAGTCCCTCCTCCCTCAGAATTAGTTCCAGCAGCTGCCACCTGCCCAGAGGCACACTGGGCAAGCAAGCAGAGGCCAAGGAACCCAGCCTTGCTGGGTTGGGCTGGGCCGGAACCAGTAGCCTTGAGCACTCTCCCCCCATGGGACCTTTTCAGCAGCTGCCAAAACCCATCACTAGATCACCAGCTCGGGGCTGAGGGGAGCACACAGAGAAAGACAGCATTCTCTGTTCTCTGTTCCCAGCCTGGCAAGGGACCCCACCCAGGGAAGCCACAGCTGCAGGCGCACTGCCATCTGGGCCATGACTCTCCAGCTGGCAACAGTGACTGCCACCTAGTCAGACCGGGGGGTTCCTATGGCCAGCCTCCATACCCACCCCTGAATTGCCTGCCCATGGGCTGAGGGGGCACAGTCGAGGTGCAGCCCCTTCCTCACCTGTCCTGGAGACTGACAAAGGGGCTGGATAACCCAGGGGACACACTGGCCCGCCGCAGAGTGCGCACTGAAGTCCGGGCTGGGCTGCCGGCTGACTGGAAGGCACTGAAGTCATGTGTACCCACAAGGTGTTGGGCAGCCTCCTGCATGGCGGCCACATCCAGGCTGCTGCTCCAGTAGGCAGATGGGCATGCAGTCAGGAGGGCCGGTGGGCCGGCCAGCCAGGTGGGCCTGCCAGCCCCCGCCCCACTCACACTCACTCAGCCCGAAGTGCCCAGCACAGGTTTCGCTCAAATACGGAGAACTGGTCTAGCTGAGGGCAGCCAGTGGCCAGGCGGTACAGGTAGGTCCTTGATGTGGCTGTATATCGGGCATGGAAGTTACTGGGCACCCTGAAGGCCTGTACCACCCTATGAAACACAATGGGATGCAGTGGGAGAGGAATTGGCCATCCCACCACCAGCACCACCCAGGGCCTCTGTCCACACAAAATCCTTCCTGACCGCAGGCCAGCTTGTACTGTGGTTCACCTGATGGCCGGGTGTCTGAGGTGGGTGTTGAGGGCTTTAGTTAGGATCTCAGGAGAGAAGGGTGGCCGACCGGGGCGACGCTGCACATCCAGATGCGCGGAGTTGCTCAGAGCATGGACGCCAGCATCTGTGCGGCTGGAGATGGTCAATTTGATTGGCTCCACGGAATTCAGCCCCTTGGCGGCCTCCTGCAGGATACAGCAGCTGGGCACCGGGGAAGCAGTAGGGCCGGCGAAGGAAGGGCCGGAGGCCAGGGGGCACTTCCCCGTCCCTCAGGCACCCATGGGGCTTCCATCTCTCCTCTGGGCATCGCACGGGACTCACCTCCAGGAAGTTCTGGACCCCGATAGCGGGTTGAGCGCCCTTGACAGCCACGACCCCACTGCGGAAAGAAGCAGGCCGAGGTCACAGCCGAGCCCTACCCGCCCTCCAACGCCAAACAAAGCCGCTTCCTTCCCCCCCAAAAGTTTGGATCGCTTGTCCGGAGGCACACCCAAACGCTAAATTTAGCGTCTCACGCCCCCGTCCCTCCCGGGGCTCATCCGCTCGGGCTGCGCACGGCGGGACGGCGGGACGTACTTGAAGGCAGTGCCTACGTATTGGAAATACACGAGATAGCGTGCCCGCACCGCACCCGCCGGGGCCGAGCCCATGGCCAGCCCAAACGCAGCGGCACCGAACCAGGCAGGGCTCGGGACGCGGGCAGGCGGGGCGCACGTGGGGCAGCGCGCGCACGCAGCGCGCACGTCCGTCCCTGAGCCCCGCCCCCGGGCGCGCCTGCGCAAGTGCACCAGCCCCGCCTGGAGGTCCGCCCAAGACCGGCGGGAGGGGGAAAGCGGGAGCGGGGTCGCAGTTGAGACCCGAAAACGAAATCCATCGCCTTGTAGTGGATTCGGAGTCATAGTGGCCCGCAGGACAGAGCGGTACTGCCCCATCAGGTGTCCAAGACTGCCATCTCACGAAAACGAACCCCTGGTGGGTGGCGCAGCGGGTTAAGCGCCGGGCTGCTATGCAAAAAGCAAGGTCTAAGGGAGACAGATGGGTGGTCTGCTTAGTCTCAGAAACCTTGCAGAAGTCGACTGCCACCTTTCTTCCGTGAAGCCAGCGGCTGGTGGGTTTGAACTGCCGACCTTTGGGTTCAGCAGCTGAGCACTTAACCACTGTGCCACCAGATTCAGGAGCGGGTGCAAAGTGTCACCTCCTGTGGAGGTGTTGTTTTCACTCCTGTATCCATGCAGTTCCTCCTTCACCACTCATGCATTCATTCATTCACTCATTGACTCCTTCCCCTTTACCGCGCCCCCCCGCCCTCCAACCCATCCTCCCCTGTGACACATCATTCTGGCTCAATCCTTCCGGCTGTGGGTTTTTTTTTTTTTGCAACCACCCGGAGTTGCGCAATGGCTGCGCAAAGGCGAGGATTGCTGCCGCGCGAGGGCGGCTCCAACTCCCCACCCACAGCTCCGGAGGCCCGATTTGCTCCGCGCCCGCCTAACTTCTCCGTGCCGGCCATCTGGGTCCGACGCGGCCGAGCACAGGCCACAGTGAGGGGCGGCGCGCGCAATTACCCATCGGTGGCAGCGGGCGGCGCGCGC